CTCCTCCTCCTCTGCTCCTCCTCCTCTGCACCATCGCCATCACCACGCCCATCATCGCCATCACTACCACCATCACCATCATCACCATCGTCACCGTCACCAGCATGACTACCAATATCTTGTTCAACATGATCATGATCGCCTTCTTCATCAGCATCATCATTGTAATCGTTGCAGCCTTCGCTGAAGAAGAAGGTCGAGGTGCTAGCAGCACCCTGTCCCGAAGCTTGACACGACGAGCAGCAGAGAACTGAGGTCACGGCTTCGTGCGCGAGTCCGGATACAAGACAACCTGGCGTGTGCAGCGGGCTCCGGGCAGAAGCAGCTTGCTGCCAATCAGGGCTCATCTTGCCCCATCTGCTAAAACCCTAGTAAGCCCTACAAACCCTATACACCCTTCTGCTAGATTTCCGTTGTCAGTACCAACTCAGAATCTGCCTCCCCTGGCTCCAGCCGCAGCACGTGCGGAAGATCCTGCAAGCTTGCTTTCATAAGTGCTCAGAGTTCAGAGTATTACCGTCCTGCAGACACCAGCGCTTGATACATGGGGGGTTTCCGAAAATAGGGGACCCTAATATAGTACCCTAAATAGTAGGATCCTTATTATAAGGACCCCAAAATAAGGTACCCCTTATCTTCGGAAAGTCCCACATTGCCTTAGGTTCAGGGCCAAGAGGCGCACCGAGGATTTTATGTCCGGCGACACCCGGAGCCCCAGCACGACAAGTGAAGTTGAAACTTCTTGAATGACTACTCCTCGGCATTAGGGTTGGGTTTAGGGTTTAGGTTTAGGGACTCCTCGGCAGTGGCATCAAACATGTGCTGAACGATTTTTGAGGCAAGGGCTTGGGAGCGAGCGCAGCAGGGCCAAGGAAGTCTTCAACATGTTCGGCAGCACGGTTTAGGCTCAGGTTTAGGAAGTTTCGGATGATTGAGAGTTTAGGATTTGGGAGTTTTTGGCAGTTGATCTTGATCGGCTAGGTAAGGTTTCGACAGCATTTCGGGGTTTCGCAAATCACGGACTTTATGGTTCAAGCACTACGAGCAAAATGAAACGTCCTAGATGCTTGCAGCAGCGTGTGCGGATTAGTATGGCCATATGTACATATACACAAGCGTGCAGGCATACCGCAGTAGGCAGCAAGCATAAACCCTAGACCCTAAACCCTACATGTTATACTCCACCTGAGAGAAGAATTTGGTCCTCAGAGTTCGAAGTTCTGGCCGTAATCCTGGAAGGAACCCGAACCTAAACGGTTTAGGGCTTAGGGTTTGGGGGTTTTTAGGGGTTTTAGAGTGTAGGGAGGCCATGAAGTTCTAGAGTTCCAAAGCCCTGACGACCTCGGCGAAAGGTATCCTCGTGCTCTATCAGGTTTCCTTTACGGCTTTATGGGTTTAGGGTGTCCATGAGCTCCTCCAAGATATTGCTCTCCGTCACCAGGTCTAGATCACCGTGGAAAGTGACCTGGCTCGGGTTAGGTTGTCGCTTCTCTTGTCTAAAACGTGGGTTTTGGGGTTGGGGGTTAACCCTAAACCCTAAACCGTGGCGCCTAGGCTTGGTTGATGGTTTAGTTTTGGAGCAGGCTTTGGGGCCTCTGAGTGTTAGATGTTACCGGACTCTCGGAGCCCTACATTTTGGGGCTCCTCCGTCTTTTTGCCTTTGTGTTTCTACTGCCCTTCTTTGGCAGGAATATAGTGGCCTTAATAACTAGAATAGTGTTGTGGGACCCACTACACTAAACTTATAATATGGAACTCCCCCAAATAGTATTGGTAATTATTCTAAGCCCCTATATTCGGTGGTATACAGGGTGTTAGAGGTTGGATTCTGATTGAAGTTGTGCTCACATTTTCATCCGCCGATCACCGGGAACACAGCCTTCCCGCCCACCCCGACAGAAGGCGGTACATGCAGAACAAGAATGGGCCCGTCCTCGATCAACCCGACCATGAAAGGAAGAAGATCTGGGTCGCAGTGTCAATGTGCCCCACCCCTAAACCCTATAAACCCTAAGCCATAAAGCCCAAACGCTAAAACCCAAGAACGAATCCCCAAACCCTGATAGCCTAAAGCCTAAAGCCTACACCCCGAAAAGCCAAAGCCCCTATCCCCAAACCCTAAAACCCTGACAGCAAGATAAAGGCAGAGGCGGGCTCAGAGAAGAGGGGGATCCGTCACAGAATCCTCGAAGCTAAATAAGGGTTCCCTTCTTCGGGGGTCTTTGCAATACGGATCCTACATAAGACGGTTCAATTATGATTGGTGTTTGTTTTTTAACCCTAAACCCTAAACCTATGTTCTGACATTGGGCTCCCTTTTGCCCTAAACCCTAAAGCCTGAAACTCCCGCGCTCCCTAAAGCCCTAAGTACCCGAAGTACCCTAAGTACCCCAAGTACTCTAAACCCTAAACCCTAAGTACCCTAAACCCCAAACCCTAAACCGAGAGGCAGGAGGGGCCTCACCAACCTTCGGCCGGCAGATTGTCAAGTCCCGCACTCGGCGCAGCCTAGGGAACAACGGCTGGAGTTTAGGGTTTTTGCATGGGGTTTAGGGTCTTCGGTTAAGGGCTTAGAGGTTAGGTGAAGTTAAGGGTTTGCATGAGGTTTTGGGTCTTGGCTTAAGGGCTTAGAGGTTAGGTGAAGTTAAGGGTTTGCATGGGGTTTAGGGCCTTGGGTTAAGGGCTTCGAGCTTAGGGTTTATGGTTCAGGGCATAGGGTGCTTTTGGGATTTAGGGGGGTTGGGTTTGGGTTATAGGTTTCGGAGACCTTCGTGTGCAAATGAAATGTTGGGGGGGGCTCAGTATCTTTTCAGTCTGTTTGCCCCAACACCAAACAAAAAAAAGTATTCTGCATTTGGAGAGGGTCAGGGGGCTATGTGAAGCCTTATTTATGGCACAGAAGAAGCGCACTTCTTGAACCCCGTCTAGAAGCCTGTCTTGGCACCTTTACAGATACCCATATAGTTCCATGCACGGCCGACCCTCCCATAAGTTCGTTATGAGTGAATCGCAACAACGGTGTCGTGGTGGTAGACTTGCTAGAAGCAACAGCTGCCTAGTCGTGGCAAGACGGGGTAAGGTATACGGAATCCGAGCACAGCACTATGCATCCTCTGTCCTGTTCCAACATCCAGAGGATCACCGCCAAAATTGCCCCCCTGAACCCTAAACACGTATAACACCCTTGAAGAACGCTGTTATATGCTGTTAGAGAACCCTTCAGCGTGATTCCCGAAATTGCTCCTCAGGGCTGCCCCGCTCGTGTGGCTGCAGAGCATAGATGTTCGGGGTGATGATGAGATCACCCAGACCCTGTTCGCATTGAGGGTGAAGTGTTTGGGGCTTCGAAGAGTTGCAAGTCTTCAAACCCAAACGCCTAATCCTAGTCCTTGAAAATCCCCTAAAACCAAACACCCTGAGTTGAACAACAAAAAACCGAACCGTTTTCTGATTTTACCAGGATGCTAGGAATTGTCCTGAACCCTACACCCCTAAACCCTAAACAGAAAGCGTGCAGCTAAGGGTTTTTGTAACGGATTGAACCAAAGCTTCTGACTGTGGATGTTTCCGATGGGTGGTTGGGTGGAGGGACCTGCGGATTAGAATAACGTTTGGGGCCAAGCAACAGTTGTAAGTGCATAAATAGTAAAAACCCTTTCTAATAGCGCCATAAAAAAAGCAAACACACAAAACCAACACAAACAAATCAATATACTAGCGGAAGATGTCGTGAGTGAATACTCGGACGCGCGGCCGGATGCTCTAAATGCCTCTTGGTTTTGGGGTTTAGGATTTGGGGTTTAAGTTTTGGGGTTTAAAGATTTACGCTTTGGGATTCAAGATTTATGGTACCAAAACAGTTTGCCAACCTCTCAACCCCCAAATCTTTGGCCTATCCCTCAACCCTACTGTGATCCTTAGACTTAGACCCTGTCGGTTTTCTCATGTTGATGTACACGATGGTGAGTTGTTCTAGAAAAACCTCTTGCGCATTCCAAACCGAAAGGTTCCTCTACTGCCGGCGGTCCCTTCCGGTTCGTCTGCGGCGCATGAAGTAGACTTTCTATTTTGACTTGTTTCCGAATGAACTTCTTCTTCAACTTCTTCACGAGGTATCCAGAAACGAGCCCGAGCCAGAACTCTTTTGACGGCTCCCACGGGGTCGCAGCTTCGGATGTTGATGAGAGTTTCTGGGTATAGAGAGGGAGTAAGAGTTTACTCCTATACACCCTAAACCTTGACCCTAAGCCCCTAAACCCTATACCCAAACCCTAAACCGTTGTTCTCTGCGTGGGTTTAGAGAGTTTAGGGTCTAGGGTTCTGAGGTTTAGAACGTTCGAAGAAGGCTTTACAACGACGACATCCGGAGCAAAAACAAATGGAAGGCCTTGGCCTAAGCCTAAGCCATCTAAAGCCAGAAGACTTCCTGGCTCACAGCACCCTATTCAAAGCTAGGCCGAACATAGCGAAACAGTCGTTCCCCAGTAGCGCCTTCACAACAACGGCACCCTTTTACCCACTATTCAGCTTTAAGGAAAGAGACCGCAGAATCAAGAGGGAACAAGCGTGCTGGGGGCCCGAGGTAATCAGGAACCAGAAAAAGTGTTCTCTAGGGGATAAGGTATAAATTGGATCTCTAAACGACGCGATCCTTGGCCACTGCACCCTAGGTTTGGCGCTGGAATAGGTGCGCTTGAGGTTCCCTGTTGGTGCCTGTACTTTGGTGTGTCTTGTTCGGGTACCTGATTTAAGGGCCAGTAGGGATAGATGGTTTCTGCAGACCCTTAAAAACTCCCACCTCAGTACTACTCAAGGAGACCCAAATTTCGGAATCACCATTGAGGTCAGCTACAGCATTTGATATTAACTAATGACCATGTGCCATTGTAAGTATACATGGCACCACGAATATATATATATATATATATATTGCTGTCTAAGTTCCGAGCAATTGGTATCGAAGTCCGCGCAGCCTGCAGACGGACGGTGCATTGAAGGAACGGGTCATCACATGTCCGTGAGCCAGGGTTCAGGAAAGTAGACTCGGCCGCTACCCCGACGCCAGAGAATCGTTTGTGACCCAGAATGTGAAAGGAAGGAAGTCAGTGGTACCAAGGGAGGGCATCTCAGGCATTCGTTGGTGCTCTGTTGGATTGACAGCAAAGTTTAGGCGTACGAAGCTGCAAGTTGTCTGGCGTCTTGGAGTTCACACAGGGCTGGTCGTTTAGCCCACCGGTTTCCCCAACCGGCATCCTATGTAAGAAACAACATCCCTTCCCCCAAGCACCAAAACCCTAAACCCCAAACCACACCCTAAACCCTAAACCCCATGCTCCCCACCCCCGCCGGGCGGTTGAATGAACTGAGAGCTGGGCGGCCTCCGGCACATCACGGCCACGGGACCTTGGTGGCAGACCGAAGCAATTATTGAAAGTAAGCCTGTCTTTGGCGCTGAACATGGTCCACAGTAGGTACCATCCTATCTAACTTCCGATACTCTCAAAGTTGGTACGATGTGTATGTTTGGAGCCTACCGGTTTGCCCAAGTCTATTTCTAGGTGCACTTAGCCCGTCGCGGGTTGAAGTTAAGCATCAACGGGGCATGGGGGCCTTATGATCAGAAGAAGGTTCTGGGTCGCTTTGGTATACTCACACACCCCTAAAACACCGTAAACCCTAAAAAACAAAAACACCTAAACCCGTAAAACAGACCTCCAATTGAAGCGCTGAGATCTGCTCCCATAGGCCTCCAAGAACGATTGGTAGGGATTCCGCTGATTCTTGACCATCGGATGGAACCAAAAAACGAAACCCACACGAAACCATACAAGTCCGCAACCTCCTCTGTACGTAGCCAATAAAGTGTAGGGTTTCCACAAAGCTTATGTTTTTTGGTACTACTTTGGCTCCTACTTCGTAGCTCCGAGGCTTCAATCTTCTTGTCTGCCCTTGGAGCCACATGCAGCAAACACATCTGAAGGCTTCAGGGTTTAGGGCTTTTGGTTTAGAGTTTAGGGTTTTGGTTTCAGGTACACTGCAAGAGCCGGTGCTCTGTAGATCAATCTGCAACGATGCTGCCATACTGCAGGTCAGATACCTAGACGTCATGATCTGCCTCATTTCGGGGCTTACTCTTCCATATAGAATACGTGGATCGTGAAGGTACCTTCCGCCGCTTTCCAAGAAAGCTCGGGATATTATGTGACCCTTTAAGTGGAGACATTGTCGCATTGAGCCGACTTCGGAAGATACACACGTCGGACAACAAACCATCGTGCAAGCTGGCGTGCATGCATGCAACACACTTCCTCCACCTTCGACGCAGCAAGTGCAGACTCGCCCTAGCTACCCTCAACTGGGGTCTCTGTGGTGTTTCAGGAAAATGCCCCGAATCGTAATTCTCCCTACTTGAGGCGTAGTGGGTGGGTTCTGCGGGAACACGCTTCATGGCAGTGTGAAGCCCTGGAAGGGAACACGGTATGATAACCTGTAAACCTCAAAGGGGGTGAACAAGGGCCAAGGGAGTTTGGGGCTGAGCTGTTGCTTAAGAATTGAAAGTTCCTTCTTCGTCCGCTACCCCAACCCTAAAACCCTAAAACATCCACTACGAGTTCGACGAGGCCCTCGCGTCCCTGGCAGACTTGTCGTGCCGTTCACAGAGCTGCTGCCTCACCAGCACTTTGAGGCGTCGTGTACGGTCGTTTGAGGATTTCGAAAAAATCAGCTTACAAGGGTTTTAGACACATCAGCTACAAGGGTTTTACATCGGCCTCATCATGGTTCTACAAGCTTTCTTGAAGAATCAAGGAACTTAGAAACTAGGTCCTAAGCAGACTTTAACCAGGACTCTACCAATGCAGTGGGAGGGTGTATCACCACAACGGCAACCTACTGGCTAAGTCCGTTGATTTCTTCAGGAACTTCTGTATAGCCCGATTCTTTTGGAGCAGAAGCCGGGAAGTTGGAACATTCCGATAGGATGTAGAGAGAATCCCCTTACCACTCATCCCAAATCTATGTTCCGAGCTACAGCCCTGAACCCTGTACTCAAAACCCAAACCCTGCAGTTCTCTAAAACCCCTACACCCTGTACCCCTAATGCCTTTTTTGAAAGTCGGGCTGAAGAGCTTGGCTTCGGTGTTTAGGCTTGTGGGTTCTTGTGTCTTAGAGCTTACGACTGGCAGTGTTTCGGAATGCCTTCAACTCATGCCCAAAGGTTCCTATATTGCTCCATTGAGGGGTTATGGGCTCCCTGGCGACACGACCTCACTTTCTGGACATCTAGGAAGGGGCCTAAGTGTCACAACCCCCTGAGTTCAGCGCCGAGGAGCCCAGCCCCCGAACTGAAATCCGAATTCGTTTGAAAACCTACAGCCCTACACCCTAAGCCCCTTGTAAACACCAAACCTCTAATCCCGAACCCTTTTCTAAACCCTATAGGCCCTAAACCTTCTATCCTGAAGCTGCTGTAAACCTTAACCCCGAAACCCTGAACCCTTTGTAAACTGAAAGTCCCAAAACCCCAGGTCCTGAAGCCTGAAAAAATTTTTTGTAAGCCATAAAGCCTCAACCCCGCTACGCTCCAGAGCCTCTGAACGGAAAACCTTGACCCCCAAAGCTCGGCTGCGAGACCCTGCGCTTTCAGCTCGGAATCCTAAAGCCTGACTTTTAAGGCACTTAGTAGTTTGCATAGGAATCCTTCACAAGGGTTCCCTAAAGGTTTACATACGGGTTTTTATACAGAGGCCGCGTATATTTAGAATACTTGGCGCAACTGAAGTATATCCCTTAGGCCCTATGTAGTAGGCATCTGGAGGGTTAGGATATCATACTGCCGCTTAGGAACTGCAAGGCTCCTCGATCATAATCTGTCTCATCCCTAACAAGCTCGTCATCCTAAACTTTAAACCCTGGAGCCCTAGACACCCCAAATTTTGTCATCCTGGAATCCTAGACCCTAAACTCTACCGCCTTCGAAGCCTGACTCCTACTCACCGGAAAATAGCTTTTGAAAGCCCGAAACCCTGGACTCTGAACTCTAAGCCCTCAATTCCGCATCCTAAACCCTGTACCCTAAACCCTAAACTCTAAACCCTAAACCCTCAGTACCCTAAGCCCTAAACCCTAAGCCCTAAGCCCCAAACCCTAAACCCTAAACCTCTAAACCCTAAACCCTCAGTACCCTAAACCCTAAACCCTAAGCCCTAAGCCCCAAACCCTAAACCCTAAGTGCCCTAAACCCTAAGTACTCTAAGTACCCTAAACTCTAAGAGCCCTAAATACCCTAGAAGCCTCAACTCCGGGGCCCCCTGCCGGTGGAAGCTCCGAGGGTGCTGATCTTCCGGCTGCTATTTGCCTGGCTCTCTTATTCAAGGGACTAAAGGGTTTAGGGTTTAGGGTTTAGGGTCTTAGGTTTAGGGTTTAGGGTCTTAGGTTTAGGGTTTAGGGTTTAGGGTTTTAGGTTTAGGGTTTTAGGTTTAAGGTTTAGGGTACCTGATTTAAGGGCCAGTAGCGATAGATGGAATAATAGGTTTAGGGTTTAGGGTTTAGGGACTAAAGGAGAGACCCTTAAAGGGACCCTTGAGGTTATATAGGGGCTTTATGAGACTATATATGGGTATATAAGGGTATTAGGGTCTCTCCTATTTGCCTGGCTCTCGTTATGCCCAGGGCTTAGGCTTTAGAGGGCTCATAGGGTTTATAGGGTTTAAAGGGTTTATAGGGCTTATAGGCTTTATATAAGACTTATGGGGTTTATGGGGCTTATCGGGTTTATAGGGTTTATAGGGAATAAAGGGTTTAGGGCACCAGCATTTTTCTGTTGGAGGGTTTGGGGGTATAGATGTAACAGTAGAGTTAGAGCACGGGTAGTAGTAGAATTAGAAGAAGGAGCGCGAAAAGAGTACCGTAGGATTTCAGGGCATTACTAAACAATTACACTAGTATAATTTGGGTTTCGGACCGAGGGTCTTGGGGTGTAAATACAACAGAATATCTTTTGCATCAGTCCTAAAGCGAACATTGGGGAAAAGCAGCCAACAAGCTTAAGCTTTCAGAAATATCGGATAGGACGGACAAAATCGCAAGGTCCTAAGCCCGGAACCCTAAATCAGCAAAGCTGAGCTAATTTCGACAAGTACACCGATTCATGCGACTCTGAACCCCTTATCACTTCAAACCCCAAACCCCCTACCCCCGAAGCCCCTACCCCCTAAGCCCCTAAGTTTCTAAGCCCCTTGACTCCCTCTTAAACCCCATAGACCCCTGACCTGGACCCCTAAACCCTAAACCCGCCAAAGTTTCAGAGCCCCCGTGATCTTCTCTTCCCAGGTAGCACCACGTTCACCAAACAAAAGGAGACCTAGACGTTGAGACAAAACCCTACAGAGCCTAAACCCTAAACCTCAAAACCAGAGCCTATAAACCCTAAACCTCAAAAGAAGACCCTCAACCCTAAACCTCAAAACCAGAGACTAATTCCTAAACCTCAAAACCAGAGCCTAAAGCCTAAACCTCAAAACCAGAGCCTAAACCCTAAACCCTAAACCTCAAAACCAGAGCCTAAACCCGAAACCTCAAAACCAGAGCCTAAACCCTAAAGCCTAAACCCAAACCTCGAGCTGAGGCTGCCGCCAAAGCTTCGAACTTCGGTGCCAAAGCCTCAGCCACCGCACCTCAGGCAGAGAACCACTGGTTTTAGGCTTGAGGTTTGGGTTTAGAATTTAGGGTTTAGGGTTTATAGGGTTTAGGGTCTTTAGGGTACTTAGGGTTTAGGGTCTTAGGTTTAGGCTTTAGGCTTTAGGGGCTTCGAGTTAAGGTCTTAGGCTTTGGGTTTAGGGCTTCGGAGAACTTTAGCTCCAAAGCCCTCAAGCAGCCCGTATACAAACCTCATAGTAGCCCTTATATATTAATCCTTATAGCCCCTATACTAACCTCATAGTAACCCTTATATATTAACCCTTCATAGCATCCTTTGTACTAACCTTATGGCAACCCTTATAGCAACCATGAAAGGGCCTAGCATCTGTGACGGCTGCCTGGGCAGCAAGTCTCACAAGGCCCTGGCGACACCATTGCTCGAGACCCAGGCAAGCTCGACACCTCTTGCTGCCGTAGTTTAGGATTTAGGATCTGGTTTAGGTTCGCTGAGGGGTTTGGCGTCGGCAACCCTAAACCCTAAACCTTAAACCCCTAAACCCCTAAACCCTCGTTGTGAGGCGTTTTGGGCTGAGGATTGTTTGGAGTTCGGTGTTGCCGCGAAGCTGGTCCAAAACGAAGCCTGAACTGCGGGAAGCCCTGCAAGTCCATACTTTAAGGGTTTAGATGTCAGGATTTGAGGTGTTTAGGAGTAAAGAATGTGTAGGCTGTTGGTATGTCCGTGGCCCTGACGCCAATGCCAGACATCGACACCCATCCCGTAACCCATACAAGCCCAGCTCCTTTCGAGCCTCAAGCGCAAAAAGCAAATTTAGCCCTAAACCCAAAGCCCTAAACCATAAATTCGAAAAATGCAGATCTGTGGACCTCCAAGCCCGAAACCCTTCGAAACAAAGCCCGAAGCCGGACCAGAGAACCTGAACCATGAAACTTGATAACCCTAACTAGGCCCTAAGACCCATGAGTTGACAACATTGATAACTCTAAATAGGCCCTAAACCCTAAATCAACCCTAAACGAAAACAAAAAACAAAACAAAAAAACATGAAACCTACATCAACCCCAAGTAAACCCGACAAGCCCCAAACTAAGCTCCTTGAGGCGTTCCCGGGCCTATTGGCCACTGCAGGGTCACTCCAAGCTGCCTTTGCAGCCTCAAGGCCTCGCAGGTCAGCACGGCTCTGATCTCTTTCGAAAAGGGGAGATTAGGGTTTTAGAGGGTTTTGGGTTTAGGGTCAGGCTTTATAGGGCTTTTAATGTTTAGGGCTTAGGGTATTCAGGGTTTGGGGTGTAGGGTTATGAAATAAATGAAAGAGCTGAAACCCTAAACTCGAAACCCAAAGCCGTGCAGGATTGTGGTGCTACTTTGCGCGGCTGCTGATCTTCGGCCGGACTTCACCCATCCTCAGCCGCCCCTCACGCCCTACGCCATAAGCCTCTTAACCCCTCACCCGCATGGTTTAGGGTTTAGGGTTTAGGGAGCCCTAAGACATTCAATCTGCCAACCCCCAAACCGCTTGAACCGAACACCCAAAGCCCTGAATCCCGGAACCAACGCCCAATACCCCAAATGTCAAAGAGCCTAAGCCCTAAACTTCTCAGCCCCTAAACCCCCAAACTCCCAAGACCCTAAATATCCCCAAACCACCGCGCCCCCCACACAGCCTATCTCCTTTAACTGCAGACCGTCTGGCAAGATGAGAGGCCAGGGTTTTTAATCAGGGAGGAAGCATGTGGACCCCTAATTAATCTGCCTCGGCCCTGGACCCTAAACCCCTAAACCCCTAAACCCCTAAACCCCTAAACCCCTAACCCCTAAACCCTAAACCCTAAACCCTAAACCCTGAACCCTAAACCCAAACCCTAAACCCTAAACTCTAAGGCAGTCATAGGTTCCTTCTCTCCTCCGGGGAACCTCTGACTGCCCCTCCTCGTAGTGTTACCTGTTTCCGACTTGAAAGTGGCCACGGACCCCCCCCCCCCAATAGGGCCTTGCACCTGTGAGCACAATGAACATGCGAATAGTGAGGCCCTTAAGAAGTGGAGTTCATTAAGCAAAGGTCTGCATCACCGTGTTCAGGGGTTCTTACAGGTCTGCTGGGCTTTAGGGTTTAAGGTGCTAGGCTCTAGGGTCTATACTAGGGTCCCTCGATTCTGAAAAACCGCCATGTAAAGGTTTAAGTTTAGCTCCACTACAGGGAATTCAGATTGAACCCATCGAGAACCAACAGACCCCGTCTTCTCTTTCTCACCTTCAGGCTCAATTGAAAGCCCACAACTGACACCAACAAATCCTAAACCCCAAACCCCGAAGCCCTAAACCCTAAAGCCCCTCAGCTAGCTTCGTTGTTCATCCTTGATTTTGAACCAAAGACCTGGGTCCGTGGGAGACGCAGTGGACTTTGCAAGTAAGTAGGGGGGGTGTTAATGTTCATTAGCCTTTCACTAGACACCTCTTGCTACTTGATCGCCCCGAACCTTGGTCGGCCAAGCCCTTCTAAACTCAAAACCTGATGATGAAGCGACTGTAAAATAACCCTAAACCCTAAACCCTCAAAAGCAGTTCTACCAAGGCGCTCCGCTGCAGCTTCTGGAACTGGAGTCGACTGAGGCTCCGTGGCGCGCGGAAGGCTTGTAGCCTCTCCTCTCGGGTGCAAAACGTCCCAAAACCCTAAATTAGGCCCTCAAGCCTACACCCAAACCGGCTCAAATGTCGAAACGTCGTAACACAGGATCGAGAAGCTGGTCCTAGAATCGTGTGACGAAGGTTGGGGTTTAGGGTGTAGGGTCTAGGGAAGGAATCGCTAAAAGCTTCGACGCGGTTCAACGTGGGTTCGGCAAGTCTCTAGGAACTCACTTTGGTGGCTGGATCCCCTGAAGCAGTTCCGTTGCGACTGCCGTGCCCACAAAAGTCTGGCTCTGGCTCGGGAAGAGAGACAAGACTATGTCTTGTTCATCTGATAATTTTCCTTAGTATTGTTGTTACTATTATGAATAAGGCCATTAGTGACTATAAGATTTTAATATTGTTCAGTAGTATTATGCGAACTCGGCTGCTGTTCAAGTAGGAAGCCGCTCAAGATGGGCCTTAGTCCACAGCTCAAACCCTGCAGCTTAAAGCTCCACCAGCCCTTTTTTCCCTCGACCTCATGTCAAGCCCTCGTTCCGATACCGGACAACCGTAAGCCCGAAACCGAAAAACCGTGAAAGACGGAGGTCTTAAGCATAAAACCTCAAACATGCAAACCTTGAGCCTTGAAGCTGTAACCCTTGACGTGCCTTTCGTACGATGCAGGCTCGAGGAATGCATCTTAATGGCTTCAGTGGTTGGAGCAATGAGCCTAAATTGCTGCTGTAAGTAAAGGGGCTTTTTGGGATTGTACGTCGTCGGGAATGTTATTCTGTTGTCATTGCTAAGGGCTACAGGACCGCGAAAAGCTGGGGCACCCTACAAAGCCGAAGCTACACCCTAAACCCTAAACCCTATAATCCCTAAGCCCTAAACCCTAAACCCTACACCCTAAACCCTAAAACCCGCAACCCTAAGCTCCAAGCTCCCCAACTTAAAACCCAAACCCGAAACCCAGCAGGTCCCCAACCCGGAGTCCTAGGCCTAAGATCAGAGACCCGAAGACTGGGCTAAAGCTCAAGGCGCCTTCGGGCTCCTCAACATAACTTTGGGTGTAGGGCTTAGGGTTTATAGGGTTTATAGGGTGTAGGGTTTATAGGGTTTAGGGTTTAGGGTTTATAGGGTTTAGGGTTTAGGGTTTATAGGGTTTAGGGTTTAGGGCCGATAGTTCCCAGATCCGAGTCCAAGTATAATGCCCTAAACCCTACACCCTAAAACCGCAAACCTTGTATCATGGAGCTCTGATCCGAGAATCCTTCTACAATAGTAGCCCTTGGAAGGAACCCCGTCTCATTCATGAAAGCCCTGATTCCCAAAACCCTAAATTCAACCCCTAAACGGAACCCTGTTTTTGATGCCCTAAACCCTAAACCCTATAAAACCCTAAGCCCTGATTCCCCGAATTTCAAAGGGCGCTGCGGGGCCTGGAAAATGTCAGCGCTCTCAAACGCCGACCTAGCCGCAGCCCAGCTGGAGTCTCGAAATCCTGGCCCGGGGGGTTTGTCTGGTAGTTTGCGAGATTCCGGTCCCTTTTTCGATGCCCTTTTAGAACGGTGCCATGCTATTTGGGGGGGGACCTTAGAAAGGGACCCTAATCTAGAGAACTACCCTTGGGTTCGCGGCGTAGGTTTAGGGTTCAGTCTTTCCGGGGGGTTTGGGGTTTTGGGTTTGGTTGCAGCTTCAGCTGTCTAGGTTTGGGGTTTGGTGTTTTGGGTAGAAGACAGGCCTAAATAATTTATGAAAGCACGTCGCGATGGTCCTTGTAGAATATGAAATAGTTTAGGTCAAGGCTTCATGCTCAGGGTCAATGGGATTTAGGGGTTTTTGGGCTGATACGGTTGATGATATCAATCCGGCATTACCCATAATAAGGAATATAACCATGATTCCCATAGTTTAGGGTCCTTAAGGTAATGCAGGATTCATATCATCACTTTTTGAGCCAAAGGTCCAGGGGCTACGCTTTCCACCGCTGGTGGCAAAACCCCTTGGAAACCCATCGAGCTGCAGACCTGAAACCAGAAGTACTGGATTCTTGTTATGGGGTCTTATTAAGTTACCATAATAAGAAAACCCTATTATTTACTATAGATCCCTATTCTGGCAACTTAAATTAACTTAACAAGAAACCAGAATTATCTATGGACTTTGCCCCCAACCTATTTGTGGAGGTGTCTTGACGCCTAAAACCACTGGCATCTTAGAACCAAGCGACACGTCTTGCCCAGTATTGGCTGCGGCCCATTCCTAGACCCTAAACCCGGCGCAGAACACCGAACCAAAAACAAGCTCGCAGCTCCACACCCCTTTCCCTTGGCCTGAAGCCAGACCCTACATGCCATTACAGATCTACTTTCTGATGCTCCGACACCGCTCTGAACCAAAAGCCCGCTCCCAAACTCAACACATCACCCCAAACCCTAAACCCTGCAGTTAGGTCAGTTTAGGGGATTTAAAGGTTAATGAGGTCTCTCTCTCTCTCTCTCTCTCACTCTCCCCTTCCCGCGTGTGACACCAAACCAGAAAGACCTGGAACCTGCAGCGCTCAATGCCCTAAACCCTAAACTCTAAACCCAACCCTGCCTTTCCCAACACCTCAATGCTGAATCCTCCGTTGCCCGAAAGCCTACAAGCCTCAAGCTCTGGAGTGACCTTGGAGCTTAAAACAAAACAATTTAGGGGTTTAGGGTTTAGGGTAATACTCCAATAAACCCTAAACCCTAAACCCTCAAAAAGATCCAAAAAAGGGAATCTGTCAGCCCTGACCTAGCAGCATGAGCACACACTCCGCCACTCTCTGGACCTCGGACACCGGTGCAGTTCGGGGGTTTCAGGCATTGGGGTTCAGGGGTTTGGGAGACTTCGAATTTGGGACTTTGGGACAGTCAAGGTTTCAAGGCACCTTTGTATAGTTAGTATCGTGTGTTCACGTCTTTATTATGACCACTACTGTTTCTAATACGATCACTGTTGTAACTTATAACCGTATTATGAAGATACTATTCCTGTCATTAAAATTATTATGATCAGACTCTGGAGTCTCGGGCTGTATGCTGAAGCCAGCTATCTATAGCAAAATTCGAAGTCGGAGCAGCACGGAGCGATGACACTTCGAATAACCGTTAGGGTTTAGGGTTTAGGGTTATAGGGTTTTAGGGTTATAGGGTTTAGAGTTCAGGGTTGGGGGTTATAGGGTTTAGGGTTATAGGATTTAGGGTTTAGGGTTTGTTCTTGGTCTTGCACGGCGTCGTCGTGGAGGTCGTCCCGTCGTGTTCGTCTTCGTAGTCCTTGTCGCTGTCGTCGTATTTGTCGTTGTCCTTCTCCTTGTGGTTGTCATTGCCGTTGTCGCTGTGGCTGGGGTTGTTGCTGGTGCTGTTGTTGTTGCCGTGGTGGTGATGGTGGTGTTGGCGTTTGTGACGGTTGTGCTGATTCTCAGTTTGGTGTTGTTGCTGTGACCAAGTTGCTCGAAATAAAAGTCTGTGCAGTATTACACACACACACACGCAACTGTTTCCAGCTACTTCCAGATGGTG